TGGAATTTCTCTTTTTTATAAGTAAATGGATTATGGGCAACAATGGACACTTGAAGGAAACAAGTCCCGTACAGCTCTGGTTAAGTCTGAAAATAATTTTCCCCATCGATTTTGCCTATGTTCTTTATTTTTCCATTACAACAGCTGCCTTGGAAGACACCTAGAATAAGTTCTAGAAGAAATGTACTCAGTAACTCGGTTCCCAATCTGCTGTCGGGTGGATGGTTTTCTTTTCTCTCCGCCCACACAGCACCTAGGCTTCAAGACTGCAATGTTCCAGAAATGCGGGCAGCGCTTCCCAGCCCTGACACATAAGCACTCCATTTACGAGCATCGTGGTTCTGTGTTGAAACACGTTCAGCTTAAAGACCGGTGGGTTTGATGCTTGGTGCCAAATTTCAGGGCAGTGTAAACAGTTGAAGTTACCCTCTTTGTAGATGCCCCTCCTAGGTTTTAAAAAGATTGTAAGATTTTACCTCCTGTCACCATAGTTTCAGGCTATAAATAGAAGAGAGCGAGGTAAGCTCTTCCTCCACAGCACGCGCCCTGACAAAAAGCACAAAGAGAACCCAAGGTAACCTTGGAGATGAAGGAGCCAGAAATCACTGCCGCAAATTCTCGTCCTAATCACAGGAACAGAGAGTGGAGACAAGGGAGAGCTCTCAATGAGACTGGTCTGCATTGACGCTCTTAAACCATGTTATAGAACATACCATCAGAATGCAAATCTCTAAGAAAAAACTCATATCTCAGTCATCAACTTAGATTTAGGGCCATCTTGGACTCAGGTATCAACTAAGGATCATAGACTATGGGAACTGCAGAGGAGTTTTACGGTTAACCTGCAGATGAGGGAACAGGGTAATTTCTCTAATGTCATAGTCAGCCAGGGGCAAAGCTGGGACTGCCGCACCACGGAGCCATTGTGGGAAGGAGGGGTGTGCTGAGTGTTTAATTCTCTCAGAGCTAAGCCCACCCTTCCGTTCTCTGTTCTGTCATGCTGGCGCTGGGCTCTGCAAACTGCATTGCCTGTGTTCCCCCAACAGCTGGTTGGGTTCTGATAAGGAGGCAATGATAGGTGAATGGAAGGCAGGAGGGAAAGAAGAAACTTCCTCCCTTCTTCTAGCTCCTATCCGTGTGCCTACAGCAACAGAGGACAGCGATGGCTCCAGTTTCCAGATTCTTTTGGTAGCCCCAATACCCGCCATGGTGTGTCCTCCCAGAAATACCAGTACTAGGGGCTATAACCCCCACACTAGTATGTCATACCCCAATCAGAGGTTTGAGCACCAGCGATTTGGTGGGCATCTCCTTCCCCAGCAGAGGTCCAAGCCCTAATGTGGCATCTCCCTCAGAGATGTGGGGACCTCTCCTCTAAGCTCCTAGATTACGGTATCCCTACTTTATTCTAGGAGTGGTAGCTGTTTCCTGAATTATTAATATCTGCTACCTAAATGTTCCCTTTTTGCTACTTCAGGCTTCTGGTATTAACTCACCTCTGTTGTAATACCTACCATGGTTTTCTTACTGGACCCTGACTGACAGAGTACTTGGTATCAAGAATGGGTTTGTCTAGCACCTTTGGCACGCATATTTCTTACTAAAACATCTAAGATATTGGCTGCTTTATGCTCAATAGGTCCAATGTCATGGACCAACGTGATGCTCTGAGGGGCATCAAGACAATCAAGGTCTCTGCAGGCTAGATTATGGCAAGAACAGAAAAATTGACATAGCCAGGATATTATGCTGATTTCTTAAGTTAACAGCTGTAACTTCTGTCCTCCCAAGTTATCCCATTTAGATTTTAATATGTAGAAATTAGTATGAATTCACTTTATCAACAAGAATGGGATCTGAAAATTTATTTTTAATGTCATGACCATTTTCCAGCTACATATGCTTAATTGAAAGCTGGTGAAGAAATCTAAATATCTGTCACTTCTCCACTAGATGGCAATCATTACACAGATTTGTGTTAGACTCCCATTACACTAGTAGCCAACAAATGGATTCACAAAGAGTCCATTTTGTTGGTCATGAGCAATTGACAACAGTTGGGAGTGTGCCAAAGGTATTTATGATCCTGGTTTGGTGTGAGGCTGTTTTGAAGCATTATTCTTTCACTCACTGCCCTGTGGCAGACTGCTAGTTGTCCCCACACGTACCAGTTAGGATAGGCTTGGTTATGTTGCAGTAACAAATAAAATCCAAAGGAATCTCAATGACTCGACACATTTCGTGTTGCACGCAGATTGGGAGAGCTCTATTCCACACAGTCTCTTGGGGATCCAGGCTCATGGAGGCTCCAGTATCTTGCAGCTTCATCACCTGGAATCTGTGGCTTTCTTGGTTGCTGTGGCAGGGAAGAGCTACGTCACTTGCTCTGATAGCCAACTGGCTAGAACTAGTTACATGGTCTCTGTAGGAGGCCCAGTCTTCCTGGGCCCAGATGGGAGGAGAACCACATCTTGGTAAATACCAGCAATGTCTACTACACCCTATATCTTTTCGTCTCTTCTTCAACAGCAACAGAACTCCTGGTTGTTAGCTGGGCACATGGCTGACCCTCCCTCTCCCCCAGTAAAGATTGCATTGCTAAATCTAAGTGGCTAAGTTGCGGCCAATGGATGTAAATTAAAGTGAGGTGCACATCTTGTAGGAAGTGTCCTTAAGGAGAGGAAGTGTGCCCTTCTCCTCTTCTTCATCCTGCCTCCTGGCTAGAACGTAGACATAATGGCTAGGGCTCACTCTAGCAGCTCTCCTGGATTTGGAAGTGAACTTGGGAATGGAAGCCAAGCATGAAGGAAGAACTGCCCGAAGGAGCCTTGGTCCCTGACCCACTGGAGAGCCATACCAACTCTAGACCATCTGTGGGCTTCCTAAATGTGAGAAGTAACTTATGTCTTTTTTAAGCCTCTGTTATTTTGGTTTTTTTCTGTTACTTGCCGCTCAATTTAATCATTACTAATACGGTGCCCCAAACTAAGGTCTGCTATTGGTTCTTTTCCCAAAAAGGAACATCCCTCTTCTCCTTCCAGGTTCAGAATGAACTGATAGATCAAAATCTCTCTACTATTATTAATAAAGCTGATTGGAGATATGGCTTTAGATTGGTGGACAAAGGGACTTACTAACATTTCACCCTGAATCGGATAGATTATCTGCCTCTTACTGCCATAACTTGGGTTCCTCAACCCTGACACTAATGACATTTCGACCAGATAATTCTGTGAGGCGGGGCTGTCCTGTGCACTGCAGGATGTTTGGCAGCATCCCCGGCTTCCACCCACTGAATGCCAGTACCACTCTCCAGTCATAATGAACAAAAATGTCTCCAGACATTGTCAAATGTCCTCCCGTGTTGAGAACCACGGATATAACTAATCAATTGCAGGGCTCCACCTTGGGCAAATGCCTCCTTCCACAGGCAGGAAAACGGGTCCCAAAGAGAGGAAACCCAAAAGGGATGGAGCCTTTAACGCTCACTTCCTTTCTACAAGCCCAGTGTCAGAGAACCCCCCCTTTTCTTCTGAGGTGATGGAGGGGGCAGTAGAGGCTGAGAGTTACTGTGGTCAAGGTTCCAACCTAACACTAGCAGAGGTCTCCTGAAGCCTTCATTTCTCCCTCCACCTTCTCTGGGCAGGTCTCCTCTTCCTCCTCTGAGCCCTCACCTCCTGGTCCCTGAAGGCTAAAAGCCCCACCATCCCCCCTCCCTCACTGCGCCTGACAATGGCATAAGACAAGCCAGCCTCCGGGTCTGTCCTCAGTGGTCAGAGCCAGTGACAAAGCCAGCAGAAGGCAGTGCGTTATCCTCAGCACCGACACCTGGCACGGCCGGGCGGCTCGTGGGAGCAGGTAAGCCAACCGCTGGTAGAATCAGAGCCAAGTGGGAACCACTCCAGCAGCATGAACTGCTTTTAACGACCGAGGAGGTTTTCTTCTGATTTTCCTTTTTAATTTTGGTAGATAAGCAAGTGGTAGATTGCTGAGATTTTGAGACACAACTTCTCCATCCCTCATGTACACAAGAGAAATGCTGGTTGTCTTAAGCCCCTCAGGCCTCCAGTGACACCCTCATTCACTTCTTTGGGAATCCAACTTGACACCAGTCAGACACGCGGCCCTGATAGCAAAACAGGTTAAAAGGGAGGAACAAATGGGTTCCGTCTCAAGGTTAAAGCTTCCCTCTGGATGACAGTGCGCTCGCACACAAAGGTGTCCATCTTTTGCGGAGGTGAGGGGCAGTTAGGCAGATGTGCTCTAACTGAACAAAATGCAAAATTGGAACAGAGTAGTAATTTTTTCCAGTGCAAATTCAGTTTGTCTGTTGATTTGTCTTTTTGAAAAGTAAAGGTTTTTGCTTTTAAATTCTTGGGAATTGGGCTGAATGTAGTCAGGTCTCTTTCCTTAATCAGCAAGAAGGTACTGAACACTAGACAGATATGGGAAATATGAACACATTGGGTATGGTCCCTGCACGCGGAGACGATGTAAGACCTGTTGGGAAAACCTAGCAGCGCTTTAAGAGGATAAACGAGGGCTATCAAACGTTCTGTATGACTGCAGGCACGACAGCAGTCAAGTGGAAGGAGGGGTTTAAGCCAGGTCCACAACTGAGATGTAGTTCTGAAAACAGACGAGGATCGCCTGCAGGCAGGATGAGAGCAAAGGCAGAGAGACGGGAAAGGGTAATGTGCGACTGAGGCACAGCAACTAGACCAACCTGATTTGCATTGAGGGTTTGCAAGGCAAGTAACCAGACGGGGTCAGGGCTGGCCTGGAGGCCTCACACAGTGAGAGTGTGGACTTCAGCCTGAAGCAAATAAGGAAACACTCAAGGTTTCTGAACAGGGGTGAGTGACATGAAAGCAAGCTGGAGCGTCCACAGAGAGAGATGGGCGGTGACGCTGAGGATGGAGTGAGAGGAGCAACCTGGAAGCTAGTTCTGAGGACCTTACTTTAGCAGATGTAAAAAGAAGACACCAAACACCTGAAGATGGAGTGATGAGAAACACTCATTTATACAGCACGTCTACAGTTTACAAAGGACTTTTGCTTCCATGATCTCTTCTTATCCTCAGAACAATCTGTAAAGGAGAACACTGATCACATTTCACAGTTTGAACTGCTCCCAGCACCGACGCGCTCACCTCTGGCGACGCTTCCTTGGTTGGTTTTGGGGCACTACCTTTAGTTATTTTTTTCCCCTCTTCTCATTATTCTTTCTCAGGAAAGGCTTTTTCTTCCGTATTTCCCCTCAAATACAGATGTTCACGGGCCTCTCCTCTTCTCCCGCTATATCCTCTCAGATGACTTCACCTACTCTCACGGTTTTAGACCTCACATATAAACTGCCGTCTGCCAAATCCTTACGCAGAGCTCAGTTCTTCCCACGGAGCACCTGAGCTAGCTACACACGCTCCTGCCTGAACTCGCACGTTCAGCAAGCATGTCCGACACGAGGAGCACAAAGAGCAGTCCCAGGCCTCGAGAAAGGAGCCAGCGGGCACTGAGGGAGGGGTCTGGTCTCAGCGAGGGACAGGACTGGCAAAGCCACTGGAGCTCACAGGTACGTGAATCCTAAACAGTTATTTTTCACTATTTTGATTTTTGATTTCTATGTTAAATCTTTTTATACATAGCCTTAATTTCAAGTTGCTTTCAAGTATTCCTTTGAAAGCAAGAGGTTGAAAACATAAATTTGAATGATGCTCACAAGACCCTGTATGGCAGACAAGCCAAGTATTATTGGTCTAATTTCACAATTCACTCACTCACTTACTCACTGCTTTGTTCAAACATTTATGGAGCACTTTTTATGTGCCAGGCAAGCGGTGGGTGTGACAATGATTCAGACGAAGTCCCTCAAGGAGCTCACAGTCTAATGGTAAACCACTGAGTCAGCGGAGGCACAGAGTGGTAAGTGACTTACCCAATGAGGTAGAAATAGCTAGGTGCTTGGAAACGTGGGGCTAGAGCTGGACAGAGGGCAGGGCAGAACTAACTCATCATAAGTAAACCCCTTTGATTAAGGAGCAAGGTTGCATACATACACAAACACATTACAAAATCTGATTGCAAAAAGGTTAAAACAGTTTCCAATTTTCACCATGATTGAATTCATGTCTTGCAATGAATTAAGCCATTACCTGATGGCATTTCTATACTTGCGCCTAAAGCTTGGGGCATGCCACCAGTCTGCTCAGACACGACGACTCTGCAGGGAGCTTGAGGTCCAATTTTAGCACTGGGAACCATATCGAAGGACTGCAGTTAAAGCCACGACCTTTAAATGCAGAGCACACTTACATGTAGAAGCTCGGAAAAAACTCTGCTCTAACCCTCATTCAGAGGATTCTAATAAGTTATAGATACCACAGAAATCAGAGAATTTGTTCCTTTCCATATATACATTATTTGGGCTGTACAAGGTGAAAGGTTTCACTTAGACATATTTCATAAGTAATTCAAACATTATACAGATATCTACAAAGACACCTCATTTAGATGCGTGTGTACACCCATCCAACGTACACCAGCTAATCGCAACGAGAACTTGGGTAAGGCAATTTCTTTTGTGATGCTGACACATGATCCTTGAGGAAAGGGCAGAGTGCATGAAGCACTGTCCACTTCAGGCCTGACCATCTGTTTCAGTGACACTCTTTGTGATGAACTTACTTCACTAGGCAAGATGTCTATCTCACTGACAAAAGCAGTGAATAATCATAAAAAGAGGTGTTTCTGAATGCGGAAACCATGATTATCCAGTAATCGAAGTGGTGGCCTACTCAGGCACAGCTGGCCGTGCCGCTGCTAAGTGAGGAGAAAACTTCACGATGACTGCTGCTGAGAATCAAACGACGCGTAATCCCCACAGGACGCTGCACAGGAGACTCCGCACACGAGCCTCCGCGCCGTCAGCTGCTCACTTCAAGCACTTCTTCACCTTGCTGCGGAGGATGTTCTGAAAACAAGAACCATCACAGACATTCTCCTAAGTGAGGCTCTGAAAGACAGACAGGCAATGGGACAGACAACTCAAGAGCTTAACACAATCCCTGAAGATCCCTGGTCAAGAGCCATATTCTTATGTGAAAGGCACATGTTTTCAGCCTCGAGAGAATAACCTGGAATCACAGGCGCTCCTGAGAGCTCCTGTCAGAGAAGGCGGCAGGCAGCAGCACCAGGGCACCACACATCTCGAGTTCTCCACTGGCATCAAAACCACAGGCAATTTATACAGTGGTTAGAAACAGTCTAAACTGTAGTAAGAATTACCTTGTAATTTTTTAACTCCTGTTTTTGTGGCTAGGAAGAGTAATCATATCTTTAAGGCTATAATGTGCATTTATAAAACTATATACATATTTAAAATCACCAGAATCTTAAATTTTTATAATCACAAAATGGGTACGTTTACCTTTATCAGGGCGTTCTGCGTGTTTGCTCTTAGATGAAGAGGCCCCCACACCTTTATTACTGGAGTGGCCCTGCTCCACTTCACATAAGTACACATCGATGGGGCCTTTGGTGCTCCGTATGTGTACTGTGATAGAGTCCTAGCAAAACACACATAAAACATCAAGAGGAATGAGAGAATTCACTAATTTCTTTTCCCCACTTACTAGACTACAGAAGTTTCAATGCACATTTCTGAACATTTAAATTCAGGTAGTTTCCTTTCTATCATCTAACCTGAGAAAATCACATACTTGGCTTCAGTTGCATTAACTGGCCGAATCATGTAGTTAAAACAGCAGCCTGAGCACACAGTGGTGGGTTCACAGCCATAATCTGAACACTTCAGGACTCACGCGCCCATCCTTCTCTACTCAAGGACTCCTTCATGGAGTCTGTACTTGAGAGTCAAATCAGTGTTTTGACGACAAAAGAATCTAAAACTCCCTGTAGCCTCAAATGATAAGGGTGTGTTTGGAGTTCAGCCACTGATGAGGTACTGAGCTAACTCAAAGGACCATCCTTTCATCCACTTGAAAAAGAAAGATGAGATCAAGATGAAATATTGCTCATGTAATTTAAAATACTAAAATCCATAAGATATCTGGAAATTGGGTGCTTCTCCTGAGAATTAGGCTAAATTCCTAAGGAGCAGGTCCAGTTATAAAGGATTCCTCTGTGTTTTGACTGGGAGTGGGCTCAGCTGAAACATCCTGGCAGTTCTCTTCCCTTGCACGCACTTGGGCCTGGGCTAAGTTCCAGAGACAGCATGGCTCCCATCTCACTGGGATCCCATGAGAGGCACTCAGGGAGACAAGGCATATCAGAGGGTCTCAAAAACGCAGGTGTCATCCTTTCTACAGCTTCCTGGTACCAGACAGGCAGGCTGGAGAACATCTATGCTCAGCTTCTAGACTGCCAGGTCAGGGCTGGTGTGAATGGTACACCTCGTACAACTCAACAGATCAAAGAAACTCCTGTCGCTCAGACCTGGCAGCCAGCTGAAGACCTCATATTCCATGAAATCAGGGGCTGGGAAATGTCTTCTGTAAAGGGTGAGATGGCAAATATTTTGGGCTTTGTGGGCCATACCTTCCCTTCACAACTACAGAACTCTGCCATTAGAGAGCAAAAGCAGCCAGAGACAACATCCAAACAAATGGGCATGTGGCTGTGTCCCAATAATATTATTTACAAAAACCAGCAGGCTGGATTTGACCCAAAGGCCAGTCCACCTGCCCAGCACTAGATTCCCAGATCACCGTGGACCCTGACCACAGCGGAGTCAGATGCTCTCATCCATCGCTCCCTTACCTATTGCTGGGAATGGCTGCCCAGAGGTCCATGTGCATCAGCTTTTAAACGGGCCTTTAAGAAATGTCATGGGCATGATCAAAAGGCTCAGCAAGATTTAGCAATTACAGTCTGAAGCAGCTCATAGCAGAGGAACAAAACCCAAAAACCTACCAGTCACTGCAGAATGGACTATCATGCCCCAAGGTAAGGAAGTCTGAAAGATTAGTGGTTACGTTTTTTTTTAAGTTTCAATATCTGTGAAATGACTCATATTGAATATAAATGTTACTTAGGAGACTTGGATGTATCTAAATCCAAATAAAACAACTAGGAAACATCATCAAGAAGTCACAATTTGAGTGTGACTGGAGGAAAAGAAAGCTGTTCCTTACTCGATGGATAACCTGCCGTCAAGTGACAACATGGGCTCTAATCTGAACAACAGCCAGATGATAAGGGAGGCGGGGGGTGAGGATACTCTTCCTTCCGAGGGAGGTGAAGCCCTACAGCAGCGGTGAGGACATCCCTGTGGGCACCGATGGTCTATCATGCGGTCAGAATTGACGCTCTGTCCCAAGAAGGGCCACACTCCTTGGTTCTGATTCCATCCTTACCAAGCAACCTTCTGAGCACAATTATCTTTCAATAGAAACTTTCCTACAAGGGAAAGAGTGTGCTCAGCAGCTGGCAGCTGGTAATATTTTCACTCACACAGCAATTTTACTCTTCATCTTGAATGTGTAACTTAGTGTTGTAGCTCATTCCTTAGTCTTTTATGAGTCTGGTTAGTCAGCCTGGAGCCCTGGCTGACACCAGGTCTGCCTTTTGGAACTTCAAGACTGAGCCAATTCTTGGTAATTCCTCTAAGAGGCGTTATAGGACAATGGTTTAGAACAAACTGAAGCCAACTATCTGGGTCTGAGTTCTGTCACTTACTGTCTGATTGCGAGAAAGTTAGTTAATCTTTCTGTGCTTCAGGTTCCTCATCCTTGAGAAGATAACAATCATGACTACTTCATTTTTTGTGTTATTCAAAACAAGTTAAAATGCGTAAAGTGTCCAGAGCAGTCTCAGGCATGCAGCTAACAGCACAGAATGGTTATAAAGCTTGTGTCACTGCAATACGGCAGAGCCTAAGCAGTTGGCCCACCTTTCTCTTTAAATCTTAAAAACGCAGGGCCACCCAGACTTACAAAGAAACAAAGAGTGAAAGCTCAGATAAAATTAGAAATGAAAGAGGAGAAATTAACAACAGACACCACAGAAATACAACAGATTATGAGAGAATACCATGAAAAACTATATGTCAACAAAATGGATAATATACAAGAAATGGACTCTTACAACCTCCCAAAACTGAAATCAAGAAGAAGTGGACAATCTGAACAGACCAGTCACAAGGAAAGAGATTGAAACAGCAATCAAAAGCATCCCAAAGAATAAAAGCCCAGGACCAGATGGCTTCCCTGGGGAATTCTACCAAACTTTCAGAGAGGATTTAATACCTATCCTTCTCAAGCTATTCCAAAAAATTAGGGGAGATGGAACACTTCCTAACACATTCTATGAGGCCAACATCACTCTGATACCAAAACCTGACAAGGACAGCACGAAAAAGGAGAACTACAGGCCAATATCGCTGATGAACACAGATGCAAAAGTTCTCAACAAAATTTTGGCAACTCGAATTCAGCAATTCATCAAAAAGATCATACATCATGATCAAGTGGGATTTATTCCTGGGACACAGGGATGGTTCAACATCCACAAATCAATCAATGTCATACAGCACATTAACAAAATGAGGAGTAAAAACCACACGATCATCTCAATAGATGCAGAGAAAGCATTTGACGAGATCCAACAGCCATTTATGATAAAAACTCTCAAGAAAATGGGGATAGAAGAAAATTACCTCAACATAATAAAGGCCACATATGACAAATCCACAGCCAACATCATACTCAATGGGCAAAAACGGAATGCCACCCCCCTGAGAAGAGGAAGAAGGCAAGGATGCCCACTCTCACCACTCTTATTCAACATAGTACTGGAGGTTTCGGCCAGAGCACTTCGGCAAGAGAAAGGAATAAAAGGAATCCAAATAGGAGTGAAGAAGTGAAACTCTCGCTGTTTGCAGACGACATGATCTTATATATAGAAAATGCTGAAGAATCCATTGGAAAACTAATAGAAATAATTAACAACTACAGTAAAGTTGCAGGGTACAAAATCAACTTACAAAAATCAGTTGCTTTTCTATACTCCAATAACGAACTTACAGAAAGAGAACTCAAGAATACAATTCCATTTACAATCACAACTAAAATAACCTACCTAGGAATAAATTTAACCAAGGAGGTGAAGGACTTATACAATGAAAACTGTAAGACATTCCTGAAAGAAACTGATAATGACATAAAGAGATGGAAAGACATTCTATGCACATGGATTGGAAGAATAAACATAGTTAAGGGCCCATACTACCTAAAGCAATCTACAGATTCAATGCAATCCCAATCAGAATCCCAATGACATTCTTCACGGAAATAGAACAAAGAATCCTAAAATTCATATGGGGCAACCAAAGACCGTGAATTGCAAAAGCAATACTGAGAAGAAAAAAAAAGCAAAGCTGGAGGTATCACAATCCCTGACTTCAAAATGTATTACAAAGCCAGTGATCAAAACAGCAGGTACTGGTACAAAAACAGGCACACAGATCAATGAAACAGAACTGAAAGCCCAGAAATAAAAGCGCAAATCTACGGACAGCTAATCTTCGACAAAGGTGCCAAAAACATACAACGGAGAAAAGACAGTCTCTTTGATAAATGGTGTTGGGAAAACTGGACAGCCACATGCAAAAGAATGAAGGTAGACCATTATCTCATGCCATAGACAAAAATGAACTCAAAATGGATCAAAGACTTGACGATACGTCCTGAAACCATAAAACTCCTGGAAGATAATATAGGTAGTACACTCTCTGACATCGAACTAAAAAGGATCTTGTCGAATACCATGTCTTCTCAGACAAGGGAAACAAAAGAAAAAATAAACAAGTGGGACTTCATCAGACTAAAGTGCTTCTGCAAGGCAAAAGCCACTAGAATCAAAACAAAGAGACAACCCACCAATTGAGAGAAAATATCTGCAAATCATTTATCTGACAAGGGGTTAATCTCCATAATATATAAGGAATCCACACAACTGAACAATAAAAAACAAACAACCCGATGAAAAAATGGGCAGAAGATATGAACAGACATTTTTCCAAAGAAGATATACAGATGGCCAATAGACACATGAAAAGATGTTCAACATCACTAATCATCAGGGAAATGCAAATCAAAACTACATAAACTACACCTGTTAAAATGCCTATAATCACTAAGACTAAAAATAACAAATGCTGGAGAGGGTGTGGAGAGAAGGGAATCCTCATACACTGCTGGTGGGAATGCAAACTGGTGCAGCCACTATGGAAGAGTATGGAGATTTCTCAAAAAACTAAAAACAGAACGACCATACGACACAGATATCCCCCTACTGGGTATCTACCCAAACAATTTCAAATCAACAATGCAAAGTAACATATGTACCCCTCTGTTCACTACAGCACTATTCACAATAGCCAAGACATGGAACCAATTTAAGTGCCTATCGACTGAGGACTGCATAAACGTGTGGTATATATACACACAATGGAATATACTCAGCCATAAAAAAAGACAAAATCATCCCATTTGCAACAACATGGAAGGACCTGGAGGGATTATGCAAAGCGAAATAAGCCAGACTGAGAAAGACAAATACCAGATGATTTCACTCATACGTGGAACGTGAACAAACCCACAAAGAAAACAGTTCAGTGGTTACCAGGGGAAGGGGAGTAGGGGGTGGAGAGGGTGTGAAGGGGAGCACTTATGTGGTGACAGACAAGAAAACAATGTACAACTGAAATCTCACATTGATGTAAACTATTATAAACTCAAAAAAAAAAAAAAATGCAGGGGTACCTACTTCTCTGGGAGCTGGAACATCCAATCTGGTTTCTGCGGGAGCTTTAACTGCAATAACAATTTGTTCATGGAAGGCTTGGATGCTATGAATATCTTGATATGTCACATACGCAAGTGTGAAAATCAGTCAAGGATCTCTAAGCAGAACACTACTTATTGGGGAGGTAACTTCTCTCTCATGATACAGGAATGCAAGTGTCAGCTTTGAGTATCTTTAAGTTTTTATGGGATATAAACTCACAATTAAGGAAAGCAGTCTGTAAGAAAAATTTTCTTACATAATTCTTAGTATTACATCAACAATTCTTAAGATTTTATAGAGTTTTATAATATTTATAACTCAAAGAGTTGCTTTAAACTGTACTATTGTGATTATGATGACAATTTCTGGAGAAAAATACTAAAGTCTGAATCTGTAACACAAACACAACTCATGAGAGTATTCAAATCCCCACTCCCCGGCCCCCATTCTCTATTCATTGCTAGATCTTACAGAGAAACTTTGGGAAAAAATATTCAGAGTTTGGGTGAGAATCCCCTAAAACACAGGGTGGGAAAAATCTATAAAAAGTAGAAACAACTTAAAAAATAAGTTTTTCAGGACTATCATGTACTCTTGGGATTTCCCTCATCCAAAATTATTTTCCAACTCACTATTTTTCATCTTGTTTTACTGTTGCCTGAAATTTTACCAATTATGTGATTTATTGGGTTTCCCCAGCCTCCTTTTTTTAATCCACAGATCTTCTGACTGAGTGTAGTAATGTCAGCACTTTTTTCCCTTCTAGTAACTGGACTGTGGAAACAGGGGTTTTGACTGATGTAAAGTTGAAATAAATTTGAAGCATCGAATAGCTCAGAACCACTGACACCTCAAAGAGGTGCAACAAGGGGTACAGAGAAGCAGAAAGGTCCAGAAGACCCAGGAGAAGATCAGGAGAAGTACCAAGGATGAGGCCCCCATTCTGGTCCCAGAGACACTGAGCTTACGAGCAGTGCTGACATTCGGCTATGCTAGGCTTTGTGGACTAGAATGCAGTGTTGGTACCATTACAACGGCAATTCACTGTTTCAGAAGTAAGATTTAGTTAACAAATTGGGGAAAACATGAATTTCACAAAGGCCAGCAAACATTTTACCATCTTTACAGTATTCAGACTACACAAACAAACAAGAACGCACCACTACTTTAAGTGTAAGTGCAAATGTGAACTTGGTCTGTCACTGCACTGCTCAGGTCATGAGGCAGTGCTTACTCTGCACAGATGTCACACCAAGATTCAGAGGCAAGGACATTACTTGTGTATGTTTGACGCTATACTACTAAGCCTTTACTTTCTTTAGCTTCTAAAGGTCTAATTTTGTATCTTAAATGTACTAGTGAAATCCCCAAACTGATCCGACTACTTAAAGTAACCTGCTTTGGAAGGAGAAATTTTTTAAAAAGGTACAGAGTTAAAGGATATCTTTCATTTTCTTTGTCATCTGTTAACTCAAACAACTGCTGAGCACAATCCTTAATTAACTCATCCAGAGCATCTTCCATTGCTGATAAGTCGGAAAGTTCCTCCTGTAGCTTCTTCTGCTGGGGCACTGCTCCAAAATTGCTAAGATCAGATCCTCTTTAAAAGAAAAGTATTAAAGAAAAAGATCATCATCAAGAGCATCTAGGCTATTACAGAATCACACAAGTTAGGTTACTGGCCTTTCTCCAAACGTTTACATCAGGTGTTTCCCACAATGACAGACAACACCCAGGTACTCCCATTATTCCAGACACCCATTATTCTTCCTCTACATTAACTGGTTTTTGCCCACATTTCTAGTCCCTTACATTGGGACTTTAAAAAATATATCATAACTCTATGGAAATTAATAGTAGTAAGAAAAGCTTAATGAAGTTTAATGAGTTGAACTAAGAGTCAATAACACCCAGTTTAAGGCCCAGCTCTACGATTTAACCGCATAACTTTTGACAAGTTATAATCTTTTGGTCCCTTAGTTTTTACGGATGAAAAACAAAATTTGCTAAATGGTAGTTCCTCGGCTAAATTCTGTAAGTGTGTATTCTTCTCTACTGTGCATATTCTATCTAAATATAATGATTATATTCATTCTTCTTAAAAGATATATTTTCTTCAGTTATTACTGCCTACCACAACATGATAGAACCTAAACAACAATTGATACTCATTTTTTTTCTTCAATCTTTATGGAAAACAAAAAAGGAAAAGGCTGTTACCACTTTATCTTTTGCTTGCTAGTTTTCAAATCTGATTCCAATTAGTGATTTAGAATGCAATCTGACATTAACCCCTAAAGTGTTGCTTACTGTTATATAGTAAACATGGTCAAGTTAGAACTCAATCTGCATTTCCATACTATTGAAAAACTAACCTCCTCTATGACCCCCTTTCCTCTAATAACTAAGTTAATTACTTAGTCATTTTATGATCTTTGTTGGTAGATTTTTCCCTTGCCTGAAAGGTGTCTATATTCTCACATGCTGGAACTGTTTCTTACTGATCCCAAATACACACCTAGTGTAAGTATAACAGCTTTCTTCTTATGTACGTGCCTTTGCGTGTGCCTGTGCACACATCCCCCATATCCACATGGTAGCCTCCTTCCAGGGGATCCTTCCCAACCATGTGTTAACTCTTTAGCAACTGCCTTTTAGACAGCAAGTCTTCTGGCTTTTTTCCCATTCAGGGCAGTTTCCAGGTGTGATCCACAGCCTACCTGCATCACAATTGCATGGGGTCCTTGTTAAGCGCGTAGATTCCTGCCTTCCCCAGAACAACCAAATTAACACCTCTGGGCTCGAGGCCTCTAAGTGTTCCCCACACTATCAAGCAAGAATCACTGTTCTACACCCTTAACTGATTTCCCTCCATATCAATAATCAACTGGAACTCAAGAAATACTTTTTTAAAAATCTGCTATACAATCAGATGTCCCCTTTTTATGATCTTGAGAAGTGAAAAATCTTAAAACTAATCATTGTTCCATTTAACTTTTCCATAATTCTGGAATGATATTCTATGTCTATGGCTCTTATTTAGTCGTAAGTAGGAAAAAGTACGTATGTACTTTGTGGGACAATGTAAGAAAATTTCACAGAATCCTTTTCTAACAAGAAGTCACATCTTACTTTGTTTCAAATTGTGAAAAAACTGCTGATAGCGCATTTGATTTAAGCATGGTATTGTCACTTAACGAGAAGTAAAAGAACGCCATGAAAAGTTGGAAACCAACTCACATCCATCGAATATGGTTCTTGGACTTCTTCTCGACCAGGTCGATGCCGTCTAAGACGTTGGTGATGTCATACACTCTTCGTTTCCGTACTCCCAGTTTTGTTGCAACCTTGTTTAAGTCAAGAATACCCCCAGGAGCAGATCTCACAAGATCCATAAATTTTCGAGTTAAATAAACCAGTGATACATCAAAACGAGGTCTCTTCACTTTTAGAGCTTCTGGGAAACAAACACATTTGTAAAATTTTAGATAGCATTTCTTTCTCAACTCCATTAAAAAAACCATTTATTTCCTCTTGATCAGTAAGCATAGACATTGACAGAAATTCTACACACTGATCAAATCATAGCTTTTTTGTGTGTGTGAGGAAGATCAGCCCTGAGCTTACATCTGCTGCCGATCCTCCTCTTTTTGCTGAAGAAGAGTGGCCCTGAGCTAACATCCATGCCCATCTTCCTCTACTTTATATGTGGGACGCCTACCATAGCACGGCTTGCCAAGTGGTGCCATGTCTGCACCCAGGATCTGAACCAGTGAACCCTGGGCCGCCAAAGCGTGCTCCACTTCAGTGGCCCAGGGTTTTGCTGGTTCGGATCCTGGGCGCGGACACGGCATTGCTCACCAAGCCATGCTGAGGCGGCATCCCACATGCCACAACTAGAAGGACCCACAACTAAAATACACAACTATGTACTGGGGGGCTTTGGAAGAAAAAGGAAAAATAAAACCTTAAAAAAAAAGCACACATTTAATTATACTAAATTACTCACGAGACACAGTCTTATAAGCTCAGGATAAGTATATTCCTACCACGTTAGTTATTTTATAAAGAACAGATATTAACTGAACATCTATAATGTGACAGTTGCTGAAGGGATATAAATGTGATTAAGAAGGTCTTCAAAGTGAAGGCATTCCAGAGTCTATGAGGAGTTCTATGACAACCCTGAGACAAGTGCTAAGGGAGGTGTTCAAAGTCACTCGAGAAGATGAAATAAAACCGTAACTGGAGTGGGAAATCGGGAAGGCCTCCGAATGGGAATGGAACACAGAAAGATGAAGAGGAAGGTGTCCTCCCACTCTAACGGAGGGCAGGGGTTTAAGCAAGGCAGAGGAAACGTGAAAAGACAAAGCAGCACTCGAGAACGCAGTGTATCTGGGGGATCCACAGCTGATATAGCTTTAGTGATGGGTGTGGGCAGCAGAGCGCGCTGGAAGAAGACGCTGCAAAGTAGAGCAAGAAACCACCTTCCAGGGTCTTGTCTGTCTGTCCATTCTCCATTGCCTTCTTTAAGGTTATGAGATGGCTTTTAAATTCAACACAAATAAGTAGAAACAAATGAATGAGTCAGGATTTTCTCTCTTTATGTAATAGAGCATCACTGAAGAATTTAAGGTGGAGCGATATCATGATCGCATTTCTATATTAGAAAAACTCCACGGGCAGCAGAAGGAAAGGGGTTCGGGGGTGGAAGAGCCTGGAAACAAACAGCCTACATAGGAGGTTGTCCCCCTGCTTCAGTCTGGGAGAGTGAGAACCGACCCAAGCAACAGCAGTCTAAGTGGCTGGGCCTGTGGGCTCAGGGCAGAGCAGAGTGGGGCAGAATCCTCTCTGCGAAGTGACTTCACCTCAGTTTACTCAGGTATGAAATAGGAGTAACAAGCCACACCTATGCTTTGAAGGGCTGTTGCGATAATCCACACAGAGCTCAACACAGGGCCAGGCATTGTAAAAGCTCAATAAGCTAGACATTACTGGTAGTCGGTGGGGATGGGACACGAGAAGGAAGCACTTCCCAGGTAAAACTGACCAAACCTGAGGACCAGCTGTGGGTGAGACTGATCAGGGCAGAGGAGAAATGAAGGGATGACAGTAAGATTTATACATGGGCATCTATGTACCATCTATCCACTGAGATTAGGACCAAACTAAAGGGGAAGGGAGGGGTGGGGCAATCTATCATAACCATTTCCGGAAGGCCAGGGAACTAGAGCACTGGGATTCCATCTCCTTGACCGACTGAACACCGACCCACGACAGGGGTGGGAGGGAAGAGCAAAGGGAGTGAAAAGAAGCCAGGAGGGCAGGGCTGTCCTCAGCTTGTCACCAAACTGCCTTCAGGTCCACTGAGAGCAACAAGCACTGCTCTCAGAGAACTCTGTGAGAACATCCTTCGACACAGACCATTCTATTGTAAAAATGACGTTTCCAAAGCAGTGGAGAATAAACTGGCATTTGTGCACGTCATTCAGCGCACGACCTCAGGAGTTTTTGCTGAAATTCCAAGCTTTACATTTCAGTGTACAAATAAAACATTTTGTGTAAGTTCTTCATCAACTCATGTACATTTAAAATAAATTATTTAAATACATGAAGTTCAAACTACAAAACCTAAAATCTATTCAGGAATCAACTTACTTCTCATGGACACATACTGTACATTATCTTCTAAATTAATCCTTATTTTTGATGGCTGGAAAAAAGAAGATACAGAAATTTAACTTAATAATTTAAAAACAACAATGCAAAAGCACAGCATCTTAATGGATAACATAAAAGGTTTTTTTACCCGGGGGTAACAATTTGGGTGTGATAAAAGCAGCCTTCTTCCAAACCATATCTACTTCGACTATAGTCACACCTGACAATGTTCACAGATTTAAGTTTCTAAAACTGCACGGACTTCCAGACATATGGAAGAAGTAGTCAGAGAGAGAAAGGGGCAGGGGGAGAAAGGAATGGTGAAGGAGGGAGAAAATATGAATGAGAATTTATTACTGAACAGACATTAACTAACCGCATCAGGTACTGAGGCTAAAAAGGAATACAAGGATGATCAGGACACCGTCCCTAACTTGGGAAAGCTCAGCAGAGGTGTAAGATATTTCTAAACTAACAAATGCTCACTTCTTGCTATTTAAGTGTAAGTAGCTTCAAAAAATTTGCTCACAAACCTTCACAGGCAGCCATGCATTCCCAAAACCTTTAGATGAAGCCACGTAAACAGAAATCCATATTAGCCACATGCTTAGAATGAAGTACAAAACTGGCTGCAGAGTAGAACCAAGAGGAGTGCTACAGATGCACCTAGAGAGGGAAATCACAGAAGGTTCACAGGGAAGCGGATCCCCAGTGAAACCTTGAAGGACAAGCCAGATTTTGCCTGAATCTGTGGGAGCTTTGGGAGGGAGGCAGAGAGGGAGAAGACAGGATACCCGGTGCAGGAAATGCAATGAACAAAGGTATGAAAATATAAATCGGACGGCACCTTTTGAGAACCCACCTGTGTGGCCTGAGTGAAAGTGACAATACTGAAGCTGAAGGGCGGGCTCACACCATGCTCAACATGGAGGGCGTGAAAGTCAGGCGAAGGAGTCTGGACTTTATGTTGTAACCAGTGCAGAATCGCCAGATTTCTGAACAGGAGTATGACATACTCAAGCTCCTGGTTTAGGAAATAAGTAAGGTAGCACTGCGGCAAAAAGACTGGGGGCAAGGGGAAGCCTGAAGGCAAGGGGAGAGCTAAGCAGCTCTCTGTTTATCTCAGTGTTATAAATCCTTGGCACAATGATTTCCATAACATCTACGGCAAGATGATACTATCTATTAGCAGGTCAACTTAGTATGGAATAACACCACTGAAATAGAATTCTGCTCTAAAATTAATTTAGTTGTTAAAATTTAAAGGAAAATGAAGACCTGCTGGGGTGTGCAAAACCAGAGTTGGGAATGCCTGCCTTGGGCGCAAGGACGAAGTCTGGCTAGCTCTCTTACACAGCAGTGACAACGGTGACTTGCAAACACGGCATCCAACAGCGAAGCACTGAAGGGCAGTCCTGTTAAAGTCAAACATCAGACGCCTGGACCAACCGTCATTCTATTTTTACATTTAACCCTCCCGCTAATACAGGACGAGACAGAGTCTAACTACTGTAGCAGGATGCTTATATGAGTAAAATCCATCCTCACCACACTGATTTGAAACACACATAAATATCCTAAATTGTTACATATAAAGGTCTGTGTAGGAGTTTTCTATTCTGCCCATGATCTAGTCACTCACGTATCTGTAGCAAACTGCTTTGATTACTATAATGTTAGAATAAACTTTACTATCATTAGTGCAGTCCTGAGAATGCACGCAGAAAAGGTTAACACAGCAGAGCTCACAGGTGCCTTGTTGCAAAAAGGCTTCAGTTCTTTAAAATTTAGAGTAGCGGGGCCACATCCTACACAGGGTACAGCACGTCATGGTTCCCCTAAAGGCTGCCTTGCTGCCTTCTCTTCTCACACTCCAGAAGGGCACTTTCTCTGCTCCACGCGCCCCACCTCGTCTCCTCATCTAGACCGTTGCTATTCATAGGTTGGCACAGGGCTAGCACCTCAATTAGGTATCATAACATGAGAAAGTATGACTTTCTTTCCTCCCCTTCTCTGCTATAAATGCAGTCGCACTACATATGGACTACATGGAGATTTGTGGGAAAACAGACTCCAAAAGGACCCATCCATTTCTTTTCCTTTGAATATGAAAACACTAACTTTTTACCTCAAAGGAATCACACAGCACCACGGCCTCTGAGCACAGACATCTCGATATGCATAAATCTTACAGGTCTCACAATTCCAGAGATTTCCAAAGTGCCCAGAGCAATGACACATTCAACTCCTTTATATTAAAAATAGTTCTTGGCTTAACACTGGGTTCAGGACTACCAAATCTGTGACTTCTTAGATGCCGGGAGATCCTAACCATGGTGTAACATGGTCTAGCGATATAACTTTATTGCCCATTTTCCAAGCTATTGTGAAAATTAAATGAGAAGTTTTATAAATTGCAAAATCCTTGCAAGCACAAGAGACTATTATTAGTCTTTTCTTTTGTGAACCAGAATAGCGCCTGGCACATTCAGGCACTTGCTTAATATTTGTTAAACAATGAATGGAGACTGAAATAGTACCTTGTCATAGATGACTTCAACTGATAAATCACTCAGAACTATGAAACAATGAGTATTTACAGACGCAAGGACACAGGGTGAAGGCTCCCTCTTGGGCACATCATTAATAAGAATCTCTGAAAGAACAGAAGCCTCACTTTCTGTTTTCAAATACAACACTCGTCATGTGGAAAGACTCAGCCTGCCAATCCCAGCAAGCCTTGCCAGTTACTCTAACTTTGGTGAACTGCACTCAACAGATAGGCCAGGAGCTTTTCTGGGAGCAGTATGGGGACTAGATAGGATTTCTCCTTTTGAAGTGGCTTTAAAATCAGAAAAATGAGAATAAATGTTTCCTCACACAAAAGTTAGTGAGCTATTCCAAAAAAAAAAAAAAGGCCCCAAGTCATTCAGGCCCCTCAGGTCCCAGCAGTGCCCCTTGCCCCTGGAGGGACACTGATGAGGCTCCACATGCATGTATGGGCCCTGGTACAGAGGAGGAAAGGAGACAGGAGATGGAGCAGAGGGGCTCCCATCAGGCTGCGGAACAACTGAGGCCCCTCAACAGGAGACTGACCACATGAGCTCCTTTCAGGGTCACTTACTGTCTTTTCATTTTTAATCTCAGCCTTCAGAAAAGGTGCAGAAATAGTACTAAGAATTGCCATACACCCTTCACCCAAATGCCCCAAATGTTAATGTTTTACATTTGCTTTATCATTTTTTTCTCTAGACAAACAAATGCATTTTTTCCCTGAATCATTTGAGGTAAACTGCAGACTCCCAGATATTGAGTGTGTATTTCAAGGACGTTCTCTTATACAACCACAGCATAATGACCAAAAAGTCTGTTCAACACCAAGCAGTCTTGAAGAAGACTGTAGGCAGAAATCTGGATTTTGAGGACTGCCAGTGAGGGTTCAAAAGGAGAGGAGGAACGTGTTGCTAGAAAGTGGAAGGAGGGGCAATCCCTGTCACGCTAAGACAGAGCGCTCAGCAACACTGTCAGCTGCGGCTCTGTGGAAAGTAGAAGGTGTCAATCACCTTGGTGGGCTAATGAAGGAGATTTCCACGCAAAGTGTTGATGGTGGCACCTGGTTGTTTCTTGCAGCTCATAGCAAAATGGGAAAGAAACTGAGCAGAGGACTTAATGGCTTTAAAAATTCTCAGTCTCTCTAGAAACTAAAAATTAAGAAATGGCCTCTGAGAAAGACCAAATCAAAGGCACCACGAGAAGAGCACAATCTAAAGATGAAGGTGAGGGTGTGACTGCACAACTTTTGGTTAAGGCCATCAAAGATGATACTATTCAGTCACACAAAAGGCCCTAGAAAGAGATTAAGGATGAGCCTCACAGATTCTCTCACTCTAATGATAGGGCCTCTAGGAAGCTTCTGGGCACTGTGCCTCAGCCATCCCAGCAGGAGCCAAAGGTAGAGAAGGGTTTATCTTGAATAAATCCATGGGCAGGACTCTTGTCTACTGAGTGAACTACAACAAGATTCACAGGAGATCCACACAGTTTTTGAGAGACTTATACCAGCAAAAACACTGCCAGCTTGGACTAAAAGGGACAGACAGTTCAAACTGAAAAGAGGACACCGGACACCCAAAATTCTACTGACAGGAAGCAGGCTGAAAAAACACTCAGCTATAACTAGGTATTACCTTTCATGAAAAAGATAGGAAGACTCAGACAGTGGAACCAAGAGCCCAGAAGTAGAGCTGAGAGCATGGAGAATTATTCCCAGGCTTCGAGACCTAATAAAGAAATTTCCAACATTTACCAGGCTGCATTTCAGAAGTGGACCAGCTACTCCTCGGTGACTCCCATTCTCCTTTATGCGCAGGAACGTCGAGAGCAGTTGTCCTATGTGTGCACCACTGTGCATGCTGTAAGCTGGGTGTGTGGGGGTCAGATAACTTGCCTTTCACTTTCACAGTTCTAAAGATCTGCAGGAACTGTACTTGAGGAGCTCTACTACACCTGAGGAGTCTGGACTCTTCTTTTATTCTATGAGTACAAAATCTGTTATTTTGAGGCTCGAGTTGTCTCAGATTAGCCGAGAGGAGCCTTGTCAAAGTGGTTCCTAAGCAGAACACTTATTTTTGACCTTTTCAGCATCTTTAGGATGGCAGTCCCCAGAGGAACACTCCCTCAAATTTCTATGGAACTAACCTGCCCAGGTGCCAGCAGGACACTGTTGCCCTCACTGTGGGGGGCACTGTCAAAGTTTCTATTCTTTTAAGGCAGTCTCACTGGGAGGTTTCTCTCAGATCATTTCCCCAAGGGGATGCCAAGGGAGAGCCTAGTAGTCCTCAAACCTCAAGACTGGACTACCTAAGAAACTTTCCCTTTCAATCCTCCAACTGTTTCTGTCCCTCACTTGTTCAGGTGTACTACCTAGCCTGTTTGAGCTTGGCTGGGAAATTAATGGAGAAGGCAGAGGGCTCCAAACTGAAAATCACAATGGATGATCTCAGTGCACACGGCTCTCCAGGAACTGGCAGCTCCTGATGGGCAAATCAGCACATTCCAAGTTATTTTACTCCTGCTCCAACTCCCACATCTGAAGACCCACCCTTTAAATTTGAGATCTCAAAGGAGAAAGAAAAGAACAAAAGGTGAGCTTTAGGGACTAAAATCTTTAGTATTGACTCTAAATTGGTTAAAAATCTATACAGAAGCTTCTTTGTACTGACTGCCTGTTTAGGGGAGTAATTCCCTTTAAGAACTCTTTGGAAATATACCTTTCTCCACGGTGATTGCATTCTCCTCACTCACTCAAATTTTCTTTATTTTTCAATATGCAGACTAAGTTCCATCTCCAACCAATACTATTTTCTCCCTTCTCAGAATTCCAGTTTTCAAGCCATCTACCCAGAGAACATCACTCAGCCAGATACATAACCAATCTCTGCATAGCAACAAAAAGTTTACTAAAAACCTCCAGTCACTAGCCAACTAAAAAACTCTGAGATAGGTGTTCAAATCACCACTCTACAGGAAGGAAAAGAAACACTCACACATTCAAACATTTACAGAGTACCTATTTCATTCATTCAATAACTATTAACCAAATCTTTTTGTGAGAGGCACCAAATGTGTTGGGGATGTAACAATGAAATGAACAGTGGCTGCACTCAGGGACCTAACAGCCACACATTGCAAAGAGGGGGTGAGTAAGCACAGGGTGCTTTGGGAGCACAAAAGCAGTGCCTAACGCAGTCTTGAGAGGCCAGAAGGCTCCAGACAAGTGACCTATAAATCTAGACCTGAAGAACCATAGGAGGTAACAAGAAAAGGTGTGCTTAAAAAAAGAAGGCTCTTTTGGCAGGCGGAGCATGGATATGTCAGGGTACAAAAGAATACAGAAATACAGAAAATTCAGCAACAATAAGCAGTTCAAGAAAGACAAAACCAGGGGCTAGATTATATTAATAAGTTTCTACTCTATCCTGAGAGCACTGGGAACCATGATAGATTCTTGAAGCCAAATGACATGATCAGAAACATGCTTTAAAAAGACCATTATGGTTAGTTACTATGTGGCGAATATACAGAAAAGTCAGGGGCAAGATTGGATGCAGGAAAACTGTTTAGGAAGACACTGCAACAATCCAAAAGGCAGATGACGTTTAGAAGCGGCAAGTCTTGGTGATTAATTTTAATTAGATTGGGAAAAGGGAGGGGGTCAGTTTGAAAAAAGGAAAATGCAGGATGAGGCTTTGGATACTAGCTTGTGCAATATGGTGGGTGTGGTATCATTTACTAAGAAAGGTAATAGCGAAGTTGTTGCTTGCTTAGACAAGAAGGAAATGAATTCAATTTTGGATATATGAGTTTGAAATCTAAGTAGAGATGTCTAGTAGACAGTTGGAAAGCTCTGAGCTGGATTTATAGATCTGGGAGTTATTATGACGTGGTGACTGAAACTATCACAGTGCATAAGAATATCAAAGAGTTCAAGGGATGTGCATATCTACTGATATTAAATGCAAAATTAAGTATTTTTCCATCGTGAGAATTCAGGGCTTTTATCAAATTCTCAAAGATTAAGAACAGCAATATATGTAAAGGTAAGAGAAGTCATGAGAGTGGTAAATGACACCCCACATGAAGAGTGTGTAGAGAAGGAAGAAGAGAATCCTGAATAACACCAACATGTACGGAATAGGAGGAGGAGTTTGCAAAGGAGCACAGGAGAGGCCAGACCAGTAGATGGAGCATCAAGAGTATGTGGGTCAAACGAGCCAATGACAAGTCTCCAACAAGAGTGAGGGATCAACTGTGTCAAAACTATACAGAGGAGTGAAACATCTGATAAAATCAACCACGTTCTGGTGACCTTGGTTAGAACACACAGAGCTGTGCTGAGGGCAGAGGTCCCCTGGCAGCGGGTCGAGGTGCTAAGGAGAGGTGAGCAAGTGTAGTTTTCTCAGTGTGGCTGTGAATGGGTGGAGACAGGGATACAGTAGATGGAAGGGCATTTGGAATTAAGGGAGGGACCTTTTAAGATGGGGACGGATTTAGGATGCAGTTTAAGAAGTTAAGAATTTATCATTTGGAGCCACACATTTTGAGGTTAAATCCAAGCTTTTCTATGTACCATCCAACCACGGGCAAGCCACTTAACATTTCCAAGTCTATTTTGGCAACTGTCAAACAAGAATAATAATCTCTTAGGACTGCAGTTGAGGAGTTAAATTAGATCACGCTCATAAACTATTTTGGGGCACTGAGTTCCCATGAGGACTGGGCATACTGACTTCGGTAAACGCTGTTACTAGCTATGGGAAGAAACCAGCAAAGAACTTGAAAATATGGGAAGAAATGGAAAATAATGGCTTCATCCAGAGCCCTAAGAACCATGGAGAATATGGTGCATCTGTCTAGAGCAAGAATAGGGGAAATGAACCTTTTGCAGGAAGGGAGCCCAATCTCCCTTCCATTTTCTCTGTCAGACAGGACTGAAGACAATCTGCTGAACCGGGAGCTGTGGGGCGGTAAACGGGAGGTGTGGACAAGGTTTTAAATGGCTGCAGTCAAGCAGGAGAATGGGAGAGGAGGCTAAAGACAAGAACAAACGAGAGCTTGCAGAGATAGGCTGAGAAGCCCGGGAAGTCGGAAAACATGCTTTTCTACGCAAAGTTGGGCAATTTGCTCCAACAGTGCTCGCTGGCCCGAGAGAAAAGCCAAGGGGGCAGACGGCACCTCTGCGAGCAGGTGTGGAAAGGAGAGGGCGAGAGTCGAGCGCACGGCCGGTGGGGTTCCCAGCGCAGGACAGGCAGCGCGGGAGCCGGCGGCGGCGGGGCAGCCACGGCCCGGTCAGGCCCGGGGGTCACGACCCGGACGACGTCAGCGCGGCCGCCCCGCGGAGAGGCGGCGGCGGCTGGGCTGAGACCCAACCCGCGCCGCGCCGGCCGTGCCCGGGGCTTACCAGCAGGCCCTCCACGTTGATGGGGTCGCGGCAGCGGCGGCGCACCGTCTCCTCCGCCGGGTCCACGAGCAGGCTGGGCAGCTTCCGCGCCGGCCGCTGCTGACTCATGCTGCCCAGCCGGCCGGCCGGCCCTCGCACCCTGCGAGCTCTCCCGCCTTCTCCCGCTCGGGGCGGGCGCCGCCCCCAACACGCCGGGTCCCGGGGGCCAAGCACGAACGGGGCCCGCGGCCTGCTCGGAGGCGCCGCCTGGCCAGGCCGGCCCGCGGACGAAAGCGCCACCGCCCCACGACCCCGGGCGCTACAGCGCGGGCGGGAGAAAAGCAGGGTGACCCGGGACTCTCAGGACGCCAGGCCCGCCATCTTCCGCATGCGCAGTGCGCCGCCCCCACTGCGCATGCCTGCTGCGGCCGGGGCGCTCCCACGCACAGTGCTCTCCCAGCGGCCGGAGCCCGGGAAACCCCGGTCGGCGGAATCCACGGAGAGGATGGCGAAGGAGAAGGAAGAGGTGGAGCAGGAATCCCCGAGGAAGGGAACGGGGCGGGAGAAAAGAGGCAGCCGGGAAAACGCGACTGTCGCCTCGGAATTCTGGACACGAACGACACTAATAAATGAAAGTTCTGAGTGCGCAGGAATGTTAATCTATTCTCGAACTCCCTCCGCTCATCTCAGGCACCTGCCCCGTGCCGATGCTTAGTGAATGTCCGTAACCAAACTGTCGTGGAATTTTCTTACATGCTCCTTTCTTTTTCTTCCTTCGTTTCTTTCATTTGATGAATGAATTGTTGATTACCTGCCGTGTCAGATATTGTGGCGGGCACAGGAGATATTCATTTGAATTTGGCACAGGTTCCATCTCAAATTCCTGTGGAGGAGGCAGATAAATACCACATTTTAAGTTGGAGCCCGAAGGTGTGTTTTCAAATCCTTGCTCCCTCTAGTTATAAGTTACAAGACCTTGAGCAAGTTAGTTAATCACTCTGTGCCTCAGTTTCTTCATGTGTTAGATGGGAATAATGACAGTACTTATCTCATTAGGCTGTTGTGAAGATTAATTGAATTAATGAATATAGATACTTAGAACAGGGACCAGCCCATGTTTGGAATAAAAATACAATATGGTGTGGTAAGGACAGGATTGAGGGCAGCAACTGAGTGGGGTAGTTAGACCAGGGGCTTCCACCCAGCCTGAGGTGGGCCAGGGAAGGCTTCCAGAGGAAGTCGGCTCCCCATTAGACTACATATAAACTTCTCGAGGTCAGAGCCTCTCCCTGATCTTTGTGTCTCCGGCATCTAGCACAGTGCCTGGGGAATAGTGAGCACTCAGTAAATGTTTGTAAATGAATGACTTGAAATAAAGGATAACCTAGGGGAAGTCTCCAGAAGACTGGATTTTGTTGCAGAATAGAGAATTTCCCAAAGCAGTTAAAAGACATCTTTACCACCCAGAGTCCCTGAGAAGACAAGGTCTGGAGACCAGAAATGGCTGTTTTCAATAAATAAGACATAATCCAGCATTTGCTATACATTTGGCATCCTGCTAAATGTTCTGCATACATTTACTAGTGTAAATCTTGTATCAAAACTGAAAAGTGTTTTTCTGCCCAATTTATAGATCAGGAAAATGAAGATTAGCAAGATTACAAAAATTACCCAAGGTCCTGGGTAGGCAGCAGTAGAGGCAGGATTTGACTCCACAGCCATTTAATTTGGTATCCCGATCCTTGAGAAGATGCTTGAAGGGTGGCTAGGGTTTCCACAGCCAGAGATGGGGTAGAGTGAGTGAAGGTGGGCTGCAGGTCAGAATGGGGATGGCAGGCATTCCAGGCTGAAGGCAGAGCGTGCACCAGCTTTGGAGAGTCAGGGCGATGACACAGCCCTCCAGTCTCGTATAATACCTGTGACTTGCCTTTACCCTGAGACGTAATCATTCACACATTTTTGGAGCGTGTGCCTGGCAGTAGAGTAAATGGTGAGGGGAAAACTAAATCCAACGGGAACCTTACCTTGTGCTTCATCAGCCCCCAGCCGGGTGGAGACACACACCAGAGCGTGTGAGCACTAAGTTAGAATATGTATAACAGGCTATGGGAGCGCGGAGGAGGAAGGAAAAAATAACTGAGTTTGGTATAAATCACAGGTGCTTTTTCACATATCTCCCTGCGAGGTAGATATTTCTAGAATACAGATGAGGATACAGAGGGTCAGAGAGGCTTAAGGCCACATGGAGAACCAAACATAGGACTTCAGCCACCAAATCATGTGCTTTGCCCACCACGCCCTACAGTGGTGCAGACACAGTTTCCAGCACAGAAATTCTAGTATTTTCCATTTCCAGTCCTATTTTTGTGTGTGCTTCCTGTGCAAAATGGTGCTAGGACAGAATGGGGTATGAGTCTTGGGACTTTAAAATTAGGGCTGAACTATAGGCCAAGTGCACAGGTGTACCTGAGGAATGCTGAAAGGCCTTACCAGTCAAAGGATATTTTACCTTCCTCCTATGGTAAAATTTCCTCCCCAGAAGTCTGTGAGGCAATGGCCGCGTCCAATAGGACTTTCTGTGATAATGGGAATGTTCTGTGCTGTCCAATATGGTAGCCACTAGCCACACGTGGCTGTTGAGCACTTGACATGTGGGTAGTGTGCCTGAGGAACTGAATTTTAATTTAATTTAATTTTAATATTAATTTAAATAGCCGTGTAACTAGCGAACACATTGGATAGTGCAGGTTAAGAAACTAAAATTGTGGGTATCATCTGGTCCAGGGCCACTCCAGGTGTGGTCTGTGGACCTCAGCATCACCGTCATCTGGGAGCTTGTTAGGTACGTAAAATTTTCTGGCCCCACCTCAGACTTGTAGAGTCAGAACTCCGAGGATTTGGGTGTACTCACAAGGCACTGGTCTAATGCAACCCCTTCTTTTCTAGATGAGGAAACTGAGTCTCACCCCAACTCCCCCACCAAGTCCCTGATACTCCAGCTAAATTGAAGCCAAGGTAACTTTTCTAATGCAGTTTTTTAGGGTTGAGAAATTAGAACAACCCAATGGGCACCACGGTAACCTAATATTTGCTAGATGTTCCAGCTTTCTACATATGCCTCGCCCTCCAGCATGGCCATTCTTAGATCTTAAACAATAGGAGGAACGATCAAACTGGAGGCCAGGAGAGTGGTGACGAGGCTGTCCTAGTCACTGAAAGGGCAGCAGGTGATGGCCTGAACTGTGCCGCTGTGGTGAAAACAGAGAGCAAAGGACAGATTCAAGAGATATGAGACAGGGGCAGAAGGAACAGGGCTTGAGGGTTGATTTGGTTTCAGGGAAGGCTTGCAATGAAGATGGCAATTTGGGTCCAGGAACTCAAAGTCCAGGAACAGAAAAGATTTCCACAGAGTGTAAGACTGGAGTAGGGCAAGGCCAGGAGGTGGAACTGGAGAACCGCCGACTGAAAGGACGGGCAGAGGCTGTCATAATTGTTTATAATGAGCACGATTTGTTTCTGTTTTTAAACTAAATGACGACAAAGGGAATTAAGAGAGAGTAGCCAGGGAAATAGAAGGTGAATCTGGACTCTGAGTGCCTTAGTGGTTAAAAGAAAGAAAATATTCTCTGGCCCTTTTCTTCCTTCCTTTTCCTCCTTCCTTCCTTCCCTTCTTTCTCTTTCTCTCTCCTTCTTTTTTCCTTCCTTCCTTTTTTTTTTTTTTTTTAAGATGGAGGAGACAAGCTTTTAAATGTTGATGAACAAGAGCTAGTAGAAAGGGAAAAGTTGAAGATGCAGTAGAGAAAAGGATAACCCTGAGAATGCTGATGGGGACAAGAGTCAGAGCCCAGACAGAAGGAAATGGGAGAGAAGAGGAGGAGGACACTGCTACAGTGACAGGACAGTGTAAGGACAGAGGCAGGCCAGCTTGTAAAGTGTTTTTGGCAGGAAGTTGAGGAGTTCATGCTCTGCGAAGCCAAGGTCATCTGCCGAGAGTGAGAGGCGGTGGTAGAATTGGGGATTTGGGAGACACAGAAGGCACTCAGTAAGTATTTACAGAAAGACAGATGGATGGATGGGGAACAAGAGAGAAGACTGACTTGGAAAACATAATGAGATTGCAAGGTCATGCTGGAGATTACCTCTGTGGTCTGTGGCTATCTATCTCACGGTGTCTCCAACATACATATTGTCCTATGAGAGCTGGAGGAAGGAGAGGCGTGGTAAAAGATGGCAGAGGAGAAACGGTGGCCACAAGGACTGTTCCCATTAGTTTTCTGTATGTAGTAGCCTGGATCATAGAACCTTAAGAACATGAAGAGGTCTTGGGGATGATTTAGTAAAATCCTTTGATTTTTACAGGGGAGGGAACCAAGAACAGAAAAGTTAAATGATTTGCCTAAAATAAGAAAGATGGTCTCTAGCAGAGCTGCAACTCAAACACTGGTATTCTACTTTCCAGATCAGTACACATTTTAGGAAGGTGAGATGAGGTGCCAGGATAAACACTTGGCAGGAGAGGAGGGTCAAAGAGATGGAGGATGCTGAAAGAGGAGAGGTGGCATGGAAGAAGCAGCAGACAAACCTGTGCTGGAGCGAGTCCTGCATCAACCCTTACTAGCCCTCGCCGGCAGTATCCTAAGCTTTAGGACCCCCAGTTTCTATATTTGTAAACTGAGGGTAAACGTACCTGCAATTCTGTTATATTAGAGACAGTGGACGTCAAGTCCTTGGTGCACAATCCATCTCCAATGATAACACGAACTTCACGACTTCATAGGGGCTGTTTCTAATCAGGTCTCAAAGCTCCCTACTCCTACAGTGACTAAAAATGGTTCTAAAATGACATCAAATGAAACAGAGTGGTGCAGTTCATTCTTTGTTCTGAGGTTTTGTTCAGAACTTGACGAGCTTTACAGAGAGCTCTCAAGAAGATGCTAGCCCACGAAAGTTTTCATTGGTCTAGGCACAGGGATTCAGTCTCTCCGCTTAGCAACAGTATTCACCGCCTGCTTTAGAAAGGAAACAAAAAAGTAAGCCTCACGTCAAATACACCCACAAGGGCAAATCCCCATGAAAGCCTGTCAAAAAAGAGCTGCGGGAGAGATGGGCTGTGGCTGCACACCCCAGTGAACTCCAATGAGAAAGCCACAAAGGAAGGGGCGCTGGGCACCGAGGCTTATCAGCTCTCTCTCCAGAAGGGGTTTCCAGCCGTTCCCTCCTCCTGATCCCACTGCCCCACCACTGTGCTCCTCGCCATTGTCCCTCGACTTTTCTAACTGCTTCCTAATTCATTTCCCTGTCTCTCGTCTCTCCACCTACAAGTGACCCTACACTATCACTGTCAAATCAAACAACTGCATTTTTGGGGGGTAACTGTTGACATCACATTGCCAGAGAACTCTTTCTAAAGCACAGATCTGATCACTCTTCTGCTTAAAATCTGTCAGTGCACTTTCTTTGTCTTGTGTTCATGCTGGCATTTTCTCCTGTACACCGGTCTTTGCCTGCCCGGCTGTCTCCCGCATCACGCTTCTGGAGGGCAGGAGCTGTGTCCTTGGCACTCAGGAGCCCCCACCACCTTATCATGGGCCATTTGTTGTATGGCTTTCTCTGATCCAGTCACATTAATTTTCGTTCGTTTTCTCAAAAGAGATAACTCACTGCTGAGACATTTCACATGTTGTCATCTTTGCCTGGAACATTACCCCTTCGATGCTTCCTCTAGCAAACTCATCTTCATTTTAGATATTATTCCCTCAGAAAGTCTTCCCTGAACCCCCAGATGAGGCTAGCCCCCAGCATCCTCCCCATGTGTTGTCTCATGAGCCCCACAACCTGGACTGATGCCCCTAATAACATTGCAGTATTAAAAGGTACATTATAAATAACCAAATAGCATTGAAAGAAGTAAAACCTTTACTATGCTGACTTTGAAATGTAAAGTGTAAGGCAAAACACGACAACACAAAATCTGAAGACAAGATTTTGTCTTAAATCTTCCAAGCGTGCCTTTCAGTGGATTTTGCTTTGACTCAGCATTACCAAATTATTAGTAAATTTAGCAACTTCTCTTTTTCCTCCTGCTTGAATTTTATGCTGAATGGTACTAATTTTCTTAGTATTCCCTAAATATCGCTGGTTTCAATTAGTTTTATTTTGGAGGAAGAATGCTATATAGTCAGCATTGGGAATTCTCAGAAATTTAATTCATAAGGAATACATTTCAGAAAACTTGCACTCAAGTTTTCATACTTTTGAGAATTCATCTTGCACAAATCTGCAGGGTTCAAATTTAATTTGTTGAAGATTTTATCAAAGCAAAGTTTCATTGGTAATATTCAGATGAATCATTTGAATTTTTCTTTTGCATTTTCTGTATGTAGGAGAATGTATTCTAAAAATCCATTTGAAGTAATTGTGTTAAAAGAAGAAATACAGTCAGCAAACTTGAAATCTTTTGTTTTGTTAGATAGTTACATAATCATTTACATGATCAAAAAGATAAACTGTAATACTTTTCTTTAAAAGAAAAGAAAGTTGCTAAATATTAGAGAATAATCACATTGATTTCAGACTTATGATACTAACAATTTAAAAATATCATTAGACCTTTGAGAAATTTTGGTCAAGGAAAATTAAACAAAAACCCATTTAATTAATTTTTTGGAGAGGTACATTTATAAGGCTCAAAATTCAAAAGTTACAAAAGAGTCAACAGCGAAAAATCTCCTTTCCACTCCTGGCTCCCAGCAGGAAAGTCTTCTCCTTGGAGCTACCATTGTGCTGGTTTCTTATGATTCTGGCAGAGATGTTTTATGCACAAATATTCATCTATGTTATTTCCCCCATCCCTGTTTGCACACTAATAATCATACTATTTCTTGATATTTTTTTAACCTGGCAAAATATCTTGCAGATTGTTTCCTAACAGTGTAATAATAGTTTTTCTCACTCTTTTCTATGTCTACACAGTATTGCGTGTATGTACCCTGAATTGCCCATGATGTCCCCCCAGGTTGGATACTTATGTTATTGCCAACATTTTGCTACCACGAACACCAACATACATAGAGCGATCTTACGCAGACTGCCTTTCACACAGGCGTGAGTATATCTAAAAGATAAGCGACTAGGAGTGAATTACTGGGCCAGAGGGGCATTGGTGAATTGGACGGATATTGTCAAATTGTCATTCAAAGAAGTTGAATCAATTTACCTTCCCTCCAACCAGAGCTAAAGGTGTGAAAAATATGATAAAGCAATTAAATTTTCGCTTGGCCTTTAAGAAACAGCATTATTCACTCTGTATTAATACATTTCTTCAAAAAAAGCACTCTTATTCTTTTAGATAGAAAGAAGCTACACATCAAGAGGCCACCAACTGCCAGCAGAGTAATTTTTCTTTGCTGATGCTTTCCAAGTCTTTCCAGTCATTTTGGCAAAAAGTCTGACATATTGGTGAGATATACATGTGAATTTTGGGATGCATTACAATAATCCAGGTACGTTGTACCTGTTTATAATGTACCTAGTGTACATCACACTATTACATTCCTGGAGGAAGAAACTCCCAAGAGGTGTTCTTTGGAGAAGAACAGAATGGTGAGGGCCACTGACATCTGCAGTGATATTGTTTACATCCTTTGTGTTGTCTTAAGTCCTGTGTGATTTTGTTCTGTAAATATCATTAGAGATTAAGAAGATGGTCCTTAAATGTTGCTGCACAACCAGCAGAGGGATTTATTTCTGTACCCATTATTGGAACAGAGCATATTCTCATGCAAATTTTTATATAATTTCATCTTTTCTGGATATGAAGATCCAGTGTTAAACTGCTAGTGTGCACCTAAGTTGCAACCGATTTTTAAAGAAAGTCTTGTCAAAGTTGGATTATTACATTCTATTCCATTTAAATTCTATACAAGCACAATTTAGTTTGTTTGCTAATATCTTATTGTTAAATGTGTTCTATTTAAATATTCACTTCCCATGCACTACCCCTGTGAAATATATCGCTTCCACCAAATTTGTTTCGCCCTTCTGACTCCTTCCCTTTTTATTTCTCTAATATTTGATACTAACCAAGAGGATGCTAGCAGCGCGCTTACAAGCTGGTCTAGCCTTTGCTGAAGCATAGTGCCTTGACTCTCCACCAGGTGGAGCAGTTTCTCCTTAGGGAGTCTGCTGGGTATGGCGTCTGAATTTTGCTTGGTCAATGTCCCTGGTAAAAGGGAGGTGGAGTGGAGGGGAGGGGAGTAGAGCAGGGAGCAGTCGCATTTGAGTTTAAGGTTTCAAACGAAGAACTGCCACATCTAGGCCTCAGATGTACTATTGATCAAGGTAGAGTTTAGTACCTCTGGTCTAAACCATGTGCAGAAACAAGCCAAATCCTACAGTTAGGGGTTCACTTGTACTCCCCATCTCTGCTCCCTTCCTTCCAAATTCATATGTGGAAGTCCTAACCCCGAGTACCTCAAAATGTGACCTGATTGGAAGATAGAGTCTTCACAGAGGTCATCAAACTGAGATCATTAAAGTGGGCCCTAATCCAATGTGCCTGGTGTCCTTAAAAGGAAGGAAATTTGGACACAGATATGCATAGAGGGAAGACGATGTAAAGACAGGAAGAAGACAGGTCAAGGAGAGAGGCCCAGAACAGATTCTCCCTCACAGGCCTCAGAAGGAACCAACCCTACTGACCTTGATTTTGGGCTTCCAGCCTCCAGAACTGTGAGACGCTAACTTTCCGTTGTTTAAGCTTCCCGATGTGTGGCATTTGTTACGGCAGCCCCAGGAACCTAACGTCCCTACTCACTCACATTTTGGGATAATTTAAGCAAGCTGAGTTTAAGCATTTACTATGCTAGAGAAACATTTTCTCCATAGAAAGTGATAGTTAACAGCATAAGCCAGGTTATGGTTTAGAGAGATTTATAGGAAGAGAATGAACTTTACCCTTAAGCCATTTAGAAGCCCCTTTTATATAGAAACAAGTGGCATGCTGATAACAAATGATTCGAAACTGCTTCATGTACACAAATGGGGGCTTCTAGAGGCTTCATCCCATTCCACCCTGTGGCATTTTTAACTGGGAGGTTGTGATGAATGAGACAGCAAGAGGAAGCTGTGTGTGCTGAGGCAGGAAAGGAAGGAGAACATGTTTGTATTTCTATGTGCGATGAGATAAGCTAATATACATACATATGAAAACACGTGAGAATGAGTTTGTATCTGGGAGCAGTGGTGTGAAAATATGTGTATGTTAGAAAGAAAAAAAGGCATGAGAAGAGTTGGGTCTGCATGGGTATAAGGAGAATGTATGTATCAAGGGCAGAAATGTTCGTGTGGTAAGGCATGTGTGCGCGTGTGTGTGCGTGTTTGTTGAGAAAGAAATATTTAGTGTCTGTGGAAAGAATGTATGTGTGAGAGACATGTATGTATGTGAAAAAGAGCCATATGTATGTTTGAAGCATGTGTGCTGTATGCATTTGAGGAAGCAGATATCTGTGTAAGGAATACATGTGTGAAGCACATCCATAGACATTTAAGGGGAAATGTGTGTGTGGAGATGTGCATGAGGGAGAAAAGAATGTGTGTGTGTGTGTAGGTGTGTGAGGAGAAGCGTATGTGTGTGATTCTGCAGGATAACGCTGGTCAAAGAAATAAATGTGCCCAGCAGCCATGTCTAATTGCCTTCCTGACCCCATGGCCTCTTGGAGAACCCTCAGCTCACTGAATGGACTTAGAGATTGACAGTTCCTTTGTCAGTTTCAGCATGGCCACCAAAGTTTTTTAGTTTGGTCCCATTCTTGTGAACCACATTTTAAACCAGGTTGATTCCCCTCATTTAAGAAAATATCTGGAAATTACTTTTTCAAGTTTGGCTCAAGTTCAATAAAGACATATAAAACAAGCGGGTCAGGTTCAGTTCAGGAAAAGCAAATCTAATCATTTGTATTTGTGTGCTGGTATTTACATCAATGAACGAGGAGCATGGAGATGATTCATTAAGCAGGAAAACAATACACGACTTTTTCATTGAATCTCATTCCTGGTCTAATTAATTCTTAACTGGTAGGAGTCTTTGCATTTCTACACTTTATTATAGATTTTCAAAAATAGGACTAAATGTCTTCCCCAAATTCATTGGATTAACTATCTCAGATATGGGACATCTTCCTAAGAATTTTTCCCTAGAAGTAACATTATATTTCCTATGATTTTTCTGTTGAGCCAAATTATATTTTTGTCTTTATTAAAAGTGGCTCCTTTTTGATGTTGGGTTTCAGGGAGAGAAATTAACTTTTGGAATGACTTTCTTACACCAGAGGGTAGGCTAACTGTGGCTCATGGATCGAGTCCTCTCAGCTGCCTGGTTTTTCTTGGTCTTTTTTTTAATGATCCATGAGGTAAGAGGGTTTTAAAATTTTTAAAAGCTTATATAAATACTTGCATAATAGAATAGCATCGGTTTTGCCTCTTGGCTGGCAAAGCCTAAAATATTTACTTCTGGGCTTTTAAGAAAAAGTGTGCTGACCCCTGTTCTATAGGATTTTATTTGCTTGATAAAATATAAGCTGTCAAAATGTAAGGGGAAATAAAACGAGGGGCATTTCTTACCGTGGTTATTGGTTGAGGAATTACGGTAACTAACCTAAACCATAGAGTGAACCTATTGGTTAATGTTAACTCAACATAGTCTTTCTGTACATGTTTTCACAGGAGTGGTGGAAAAATGGGTTATGCCCTGGAAACACAAAGGCAGTTTCAAGAAAATTCATTGCAATTGTGTTTGTAATCATGAAAAACTGGATCAACTCAGATGTCCTTCAACAGAAGAATGTCTATATAAATTGTGCCATATTCACACAATTCGGATACCATTTAGCAGTTAAAATGAATAAAGTAGAGCTACGTGCATGATTAGATGGATCTTACAACATAGAATTGAGTAAAACAACATAAACTGACTGGGTTACAGAATTAAACATAGAGTATGATAACACAGAACGTTGTAAAACTGGAAAAAATGCCATACCATGTTCATGAACACATGCATATGTAGTAATAGAATAAAAACAGGGATGGGATGTTTTAGAAGAGTGGGTGGGGGATGGGGCGGGAAGAATTGGGATCAGGGAGGGCTGTCTAGGGGCTTTAACTACATTGTGATATTTATTTCTTAGGGGAACATGAAGCCAGAACGGCAAGATGTTAGGATTGGCTGGTCCTGGGGCACACAGGGGCTCATCAGGATACTCTCCTTATTTTAGCGTCTGTTTGAAATATTTCATAACAAGAAAAGGAAAATGATGGTGCTGCCAATCAGAGTTCAGGAGATCTGTGGAGAGTCATGCAGGCAACATTTGTATTGAGGACCTGTCATGTGCTGCCACTTGCTGGGGGCTGTACCCTCATTCCTTCATTTAAGGCCAAGCTCAGTGAACTTGACTGTCTCCTCATCCTCAAGGACACTGACTGTTAGGCCCAAGGCCTCACTGGGGGTCGTGGGGGTGAGTGGCAGGAGGATACAGGGCTGGTCGCCTGATTCTGGTTCTGTGCCTCACAGGCTCCAGAAATGACAGGGGCCTGTCTTTTGCTTAAAAAAAGAAAGAAAGAAATCTTGAATTTCATGCCTCGGGCCCTGTGTTCCTAGCTCCGGGCTGCCTCTGTGCCAGCCTCCGGCGAGGTCTGCAAAGACTTATTAGAGGTTTGCTCGTTTGTTCCTTGCTTCCTTCACTCCCTCTTCTGACTAGGGGTCCGGGAATTGGTCGAGTTCCAACCGCAGGTGCTCATCTTCCTTCTCCTCTTCTGGCCTTAGGCAGGCCCCCTTGCCGACCTTTGTGGTTGGGGACTCAGTGCCCCCAGCCCGCGCTGTCCGAGAGAGTCGGCTGCGGGGCGCCCAGGACAGCGCCTCGGGCACGGGGCGGACGCGGCGCTCGGCAGGGCCCCGCCGGGGCAGCCGCGGTGGGGGTCCTGGGGCCCTTGGAGGGGAGTCGTAGGGAGGCCTGGGCTGCGTTCCTCCCGCCTCACAGACCTGCCTTGTCCTCTCTGGGCGCCTGGGTCCCATGAGGCAAAATGACCTGTGTCGTCCGAGGGTTCTCCAACTTCTGTCCAGCCTCCCTCACCCGCTAAGGCCCCTGTGGCCGGAGGGGCTCCAGCTGTGGCCCCGCGGGAAGGTCGGGGGAGTGTGCCCGGGACGGGCCGGGGGCCGCTGCGGAGAGGAGCCCCTTGCCGGGAACCGACAAGAAAGCGACCTTTCCTGAGCGCAGGCGGCGCCCCTCGCCGGGTGCGGGGCGTCGGGTGCGGCATCCTTGCCGCCTTCGGGATGTTAACAGGAGCGCCGGGCAGGCGAGGGGCTGGCTGCTGACCCGCAACCCGCCGCCCCGGGGCGCCGGGCCGGGCAGCGGGGGGGCACCGCGTCCTCGGCCGGGACGAGGCGGGCCAGGGGAGCACTGGGGCGCGTCTGGGCGGGAGGGCGCGGGGCCGGGCAGGGGTGGGGGCACCGCGTCCTCGGCCGGGACGAGGGGGGCCCCGGGAGCACTGGGGCGCACGGGAGCGGACTGGGGCGCGCCGGGGCGGGAGGGCGCGGGGCCCGACTGCGGCCCGCCTCTCCCTCCCCTCGCCGACGCCGCCGGGTCCGGGCCCCGCGCCCTCCCCGACCCTGTCCCAGCCCAGGTCCCCGGGCGGCTGAGCCCCCCGCCCGTCCTTCCTCGGCGGTCGGCCCGAAGACCCGGAGAAGCGGAGTCCGGGGGCGGCCAGTGTCAGGGGTCGAGGCCTCGCTCCGCAGATCCGGGCTTTGCCGCGCGCCCCGCGCCGGGTCGGGCTCCGGAGCTGGGGGTGTGCCCGCCGCCCCGGCCCGGCTGGCCCTCCGACGGCGGCGGCGCACCGGCGCGGGGAGCGCGGCGGAAGGACAAAGGGCCGAGGTAGGAGCGGGGCGCGGCGGGGCCGCCGGGGCGGGGGGCGCGGGGCTGTGCCGGGCGGGCTCGGCTGAGCGGGTGGCCGGCTCCGGAGGGGCCCGGGCTGGGACCTCGCGCCCCGCTCGGCCCCGCGGGCAAGGGGAACCGGGAGGGACGCGCGCGGGCGGACGGGGCACTCTCCGGGCCGGACCCGCGACGGAGGTGGGGAAGTTTCTGGGTTCAGACCCCAGGGCGTGTGGGGACGTGGGTGCAGCTGCCTCGTGTGCGTGCGTGTGTGTGTGTGTGTGTGTGTGTGAGTGTGAGAGAGAGAGCGCGCGCGTCAGAGTTAGAGCGCGTGCTGAGCGCCTGGCGCATGGTGAGCGCTCCATAGGTGAGAGCTTTTAAAAATGACCATGACGGTAATAATGACTAGTTTCAGGCAGTGTGTGCGTGCATGTGTGTCTATGTCTAAGTGTTTAGAAAAGCGGGAGCCGGAGGTGGCAGCCACAACTCCCCAGCTCTTGGGACAAGGGAGAAAATGGGGCTTCTTTCCAGAACGGCCCTGGGACCGTCTCCAAGGGGCTCCTACACTTGGAGAGGCTGGTTCAGCGGAGGTGGTGGCTTAGTAACTGGATCCCAGTTTTGGGCCTTGGGAACAAAGGCTGCTTCCCTGAAGTCCAAGAAGGTGCGTGTGTGTGTGTGTGTGTGTGTGTGTGTGTGGCCGCCAGGGCGCCAGGCCGGGGTGGAGGCTGGGACGACCCGCCATTCATGGAAAAGGATGCTGGGCCATTTTGCTGTCAAGTCTCTTTTGATCCCCGGTCGTGAGGACCAGCAGAAAAGAGGAACTACTTAATTTGTGTACTGAAGCTTTCCTTTAATAAACTTTCATTGTAGAGGTAGGTGTTATTTCAGGGCTTGAAAGGTTTTTTAGTATCTCTTTAAAACAATAAAAGTGTAAATTTAACTTGAGTACAAACTTTTATTCCCAGTGAGAGCGTTTCAGTTTCTGCAATTAACACTGGGTGTTGGACGTGGGGGAGGGGAACGTCTGGGTGGGAGGGGGCTTCTGAGCTTGATCTTGTATGAATGTTGTCGTGGTGTCGCCTGGTTTGCAGCGCTTTATAGGAAAATGTTGTTGGAAGTTTTAAAGGCCAGTTAGAATCCCACCTTTAACTATCTTCTTAGAATGTCTTAAATCTCTGGGCAGATTTGAAGAATTCTTGATAACCAACCCCCATTGCTTCCAGAGCATGGTCTTTGGGCTTGCTTAGAAAAGTTTGTTTCTAGGAGACAAAAGCCAAATTTAAAATGTGAAACAATTAAATGAAACACAGGCAAGGACACGTTTTTACAAGTCTTTTCATGAGATCTGGTTCATTTTAAGTTTGCAATGTGGTCTGTGACATTTTCCGTTTACCCAGCGCAGAGGATGCGGTGGTCTGCTGTTCCTTCTGGAACAAATTTTCCTTAAGGAGTAAAAAGTAAGCTCAGGTTGAAACTGAAATTCCATCCTGGGCTTTCTTTTTATTGCAGAGGGTTTAAATGGTTTATTTGTGTTTTAAAATGTTTTTAATTAGTGAAAATAGCCATTTGGACCAATACCTGTGATCTTTGTTGGGTGGGTAATTTGAAGCTACACTTTACATGTATGTGTCTTTGTCTTGTCATTTTTAGTAGGAGAATTTATATTCTCATAGAGCCTGTCTAAAGCTTTCTGTGCTTGGTATGAAAGTGATCACTCGTTCATTTAGGAAGCAGTTTACTGAACTCCTTCAGCATTGTGGACGTTCATTCAAGTGCTACCATTTTACTTAATGGTGGAAACCCCCTTCTCAAGACAATGTGTCCAGTTTGCGGATTCAACATTTGAATTATTTAGAGATTCCAGCGTTTTCAGAGGCTGTCTCAAAGTAGAGCTAAAATAAGGTTAAAAATCAGAAGAAGACAGCCTGTAACTGAGAGAGAGAGGGCGGGCCCCACGCCCAGGCGAGGTCATCAGAACGGAGAGGGACCAGGACGTTGAAACGAAGGCTGTGGTGTGGACACTTTGTGCATTAAGTGGAGCTTGTGTTTAATAATCGCACATTCCTGTCGAGCTTGCTTCAGTGGTTCTGTTCCAGACCTGGAAAGGAAGCCTCCAGGGCGTTTGTGGGGGCAAGTGACCATTAGGGCTGGCTGAGGGCAGCTCATGGACCCTGGCCTGGCCGTTCCTGAGGGCCCATGGCCGGCTAATCCCTTCATAAAGATTCCAGGCAGTTAATCTTCTCAGCTCATATACTGCTTAATGGGCACTCCTGGCTTTTTGGTTCAGTTTCTGGATATACAGATAAATTGTAGTACTTTAAAGCAAATTGCATTTAAAAAAACAGGATGGGGAAGGCTATTGTAAAAGTAATATTTGTGACATAAAATTTAAGAATATATAGAAGACAGAAAAATCAGAAATCTATGATCCAGATAATTACTGTTAACACTTGGGTGTATTTTTTTCTTATATTAAAACTAAATTTTATATGCTTCTAAACATTGGTCAAAATTACATATTATTTATGTCATTTTGTATCTTTTTTTTTTTTTGTAAAGATTTTTATTTTTTCCTTTTTCTCCCGAAAGCCCCCCGGTACATAGTTGTGTATTCTTCGTTGTGGGTTCCTCTAGTTGTGGCATGTGGGACGCTGCCTCAGCGTGGTCTGACGAGCAGTGCCATGTCCGCACCCAGGATTCGAACCGACGAAACACTGGGCCGCCTGCAGCGGAGCGCGCGAACTTAACCACTCGGCCACGGGGCCAGCCCCCATTTTGTATCTTTTTTCATATAAAAGTTATATTATGAATATTACCTATCATTATTTCTTTGATGATGCCGTTTTAAATAACAATTTTATATTCTAGTCTATGAATAAATTATACATTAACTATTTCTCTAGCAGATTCTTGGGTTTTTCCTGTTATTTGTACTTTTGATGTTCTTTCCGTTTGGAGAAAACATCCTTGATTGATGGTAATACACATTTCTAAACTCGACTGCTCTTAGAAAGTGGCAAAAAAAACCCTTTAACTTCAGGGACGTAAAGTGGA